CTTCCGTATCCAAAGTCCCGGTCTCAAGGACGCAGGGTGTGTAGGGTTACAGGGCCCCATAATCGGGCACTTACTGTCTCCTGCATCATACGCACGATGGTCTCAGAACAACAACACCGACGCGAACGGTGTCAATATAATTACTGAGGAAAGTTATGAAACTTTGCATGTGCTCTCTCCATTCTCCTCCTTTTTATAGCTTGCACCCAATACACTGGTCACACCATGTGTATCACATGGGCACACAGCCACCATACACTATACCTTCTCCCCTTTGACTCCTACTTAGTCTTGACTCTACTATAAGTGCGTGCTGCTTACGCTCCGCCAGTCTTGCGAGGGACGGGTCTCTACCCCTTTCCCTCGCCTGGAGCCTGCCCCCCAGAGGGCTCCTCAGGAAGGGCTCACCGAGGAACACTCTGAGGCCTTGCACGTTCCTAACTGCTTAGCAGCGTCCCTTATACTTGGAGGTTTTGCTGGACATGAAATTTTTGGCTCACATTTTCTTTTCTTTCCTTGATTTATTTGTTATTCTACTTTCTTTTGGCAAAAAGTGCTTCTGTCAACAAGATGAACGGCAATCGGATGTTATTTCTCTTCTAAGCCGTTTGCTGTTTCGTCTGGATGCCTGAAGGGCTCTCTTTTCCTTTAACGTCCAGCGGGTCACCAGGGACACGTCGACGGTGCTGACCGCTCTGGGTTACCGCGGTCATCTTTATCATGCGCTCTTTCGATACATAATTTTAAATCTTTTGTTTTATTTTATGGAACTTCTTTAAGTTGTAGTTTAGGTATCTGTTCAGTTCCATTGCCTTTTTATTCTCCCCTTTCCGGCATTTCTATTGTCTGTGTGTTGGATCTTCTTTGCCTATCGTCAATATCGGTCACTTTTTCTCAGTCTTATTATCTCCTTCTTCATTTGACATTAATAATTTTCCTGCCTCCAGGCGTTTTCTCTTATGTTGATCTATATCTCTTGTGTTTCTTCTAGGTCAACTTTCATTTCCAGAATTGTATTTTTATTTTCACTTCTCTCCTAAATTCTGCCACCTCATTCCTAAAATTTTTCTGCTTCAGATTTCTGTTGTGTAAAGCTCACAGCATAATCTCAGTGTCCCTGAGCTTAGTTTGAATTACAGTTTCCGATTGCTTTGTGGCACGTCTTTTTGGCATTCTTTCATTATCTATAGGGATCTTCTCCTTACTGTTCTTTTATAATAATTTAAAGATTTGATAAAAATAATTTCATCTTTTTTATTTTTATGCAAAATTAGCTTTCCTGAACTTTTTAGGTAGCTCTTCTAACTTCATATAGTTCTCCTTTTGGTGGCCTTCACATAGTGTTCAAAAACAAGCAGTTGCGGCTCTGGCTGGTGTGGCTCAGTGGATTGAGTGCCATCCTGTGAACCAAAGGGTCGCTGGTTCGATTCCCAGTCAGAGCACATGCCTGGGTTGCAGGCCAGGTCCCCATTAGGGGGCGTGCGAGAGGTAACCACACACTGATGTTTCTTTCTCTCTCTCCTTCCCTTCCCTTCTGTCTAAAAATAAAGAAATAATATCATTTTTAAAGCATGCAGTTGCTTTTTGAGATGTCTCACACACACATTTTATTTATTTATTTTTGATTTTATTTTTCCATAACCCTGACTTCCCCTGCCCTGATCCTTCTGACTCCACCCCACACTGGATTTCTCGTTGGCGCAGAGCCCTGCCCTGGAAGTGCGCCCTGGTGGCTTGGTTTCAAGAGAGTGTAGGGGCCAGTCCACAGATCTCTTGCACCCACCAGTCATTCGAGTGCTCAAAATCCTTCTGTTTCCGTTGCCATCCTCACATTAACCTGCCAAACTTCCCAGCGAACTCCGGCTGAAAATTCTGGAGTCCTCCTGTTCTCAAGGTTGCCAGATAGCCCCATGCTCACTGCTGCTTTCTCCTGCAGACGCTGACACTCTGCAGGTTTGGATGGAGGCACGTGCCCAGCACCTGTGCTTCAGGCTGGACGGGGTAACCTGTTGCCCAGCTGTACTGTGGACACTGTGAACGAGTTTCCGAGTGTACTGTGTGGGGACTGAGAAAGATCAAGCTGCTTTGCTCTCGCCACCACCAGCTCCCCGAAACCACGCAAGTGATTTCTGATGGGCTTTCGTATCTCGCTTGTTTCCTTCTTTCATATTCTTAGACAGGAAACTGAAACACCAGGTGGTCCGGTTCGACTCCAACACCTGGCAACTCCTGTGCTTCCCTGGAGACCAAGGACTGCAGGGGACCTGGCGTCGCATCTCCGCTGAGGACACGCCGGCTCTGGCAGGGGCAGCCAGAGTGTAGGCGCTGCACCCTCGAGGCCCTCGCCCCCTCCCTGCAGCTCTCCAGCCTCAGAGAGTTGCCCCGGGGGAGGCCGAGCATCACCAGGGGCTCAGGCTAGACGGTGAGGCCCCGGGTCTCCCCAGGGAGCCCCCTGGGCAGTGTGACTCCATGTGCGGCCCAGTTCTCTGCCACTCCTCACGATGAACAACTGTGAAGGGACCTGAAACCTCATCATTGCTTCATTCCCTTCCTGAAGCGGAGAAATACAACTCAAAAACGCAACAAGCAAACAAAAGCAAATAGAGTCTAGAAGCTCAGCCAGCGGCCAGCAGGGCCCACGAAACCTTCTGAGGAAGAGGCAACAGAGCCTTGAGGGGCGCAGCCCAGCAAGCCGGCCGCCGGCCACGCGCGGCTGTCCGAAGTTCACGGGCACTGAGTTTACGGTGTGCGTTGAGTTCGGAAGACTCACTTTGAAAAAAGGATACAAAGTATTTCAATAATGTTACATTGCTTACATGTTGAAATGATAACGTTTTAAATGTACTAAGTCAAATAAAATATATCTTTAAACCTAATTTCACCTCTTCTCTATGTGACGACTAGAAAATGTAAAAGCCGCAGACAGGGCTCAGGTCACCTGTCTCTCGGGCGGTGCCGGCCTCGAGCGCCAGACGCCCAGGGTCAAGTCCCCGACAGACAGACCGCGCCGCCCACTGTGTGAAGGAAGAGGTGCGTTTGCTAAGAACCTGCCTGTCCACTGGTGTCCTGGGAAGCACGGACACACCCGCCTCACCAGGCTGCTGCGGGAAGCAGGCTGGAAGGGCACGGAGACTCCCGGCGCGCAACCCAGGCGCGGCTCAGACGCGGGAGCCGCCCTTGCGTCCCCACCCGCACGAACGAACAAAACGGCACGCAGACGAAGGGCTCACACCTTTTGCCCACACGCACCTGACCCGGGAGAACCACCTCCTAGATCCCGAGTTTCTTTATTAGAAAACTGGGGGCTCCCGTCTGCCTCACCGGGTTGTTCTGGGGCCTGATGCCTGTCAGTCAGCATGGACTGGCAGAGCCCCGGCCGTGAGCTGGGCACTATTCTGGGCACCAGGGACGCAGCAGCAGACAAGTCAGGCAGAGTTTCTGTCCTTGGGGACTTTATGTTCCAGGAGAAAAAAATGCACCATGGAACGTCATTGAATAACACGATGTTAGGAAGCAGTAAGAGACATGAAGACACGAAAGCAGGGTAAGGGAAGAGGGGGCGGTGGAGCGGTGCTACCGGGAAGTCCTCTCCGAGGCCGGACGTTTGGACAGAGACTGAGGGACACGTGGAGAAGAGCCGTGAGGGCGGCAGGAAGAATGAGCACAGGGCCAGGCCCTGAGCAGGCGATGCAGTGAGTCCGGGGGAGAAAGGCAGCCACCACGTGGCCGGAGAGCAAGCAGACCCGGGCAGGAGAGAGGGCTTGGCCAGACCGCAGCGGGCACTGGAGGCCTGGTAGCAGCTCCGGGTCTCACTCCAGCACGAGGGGCCCACTGCAGAGCTCTATGCAGGCGTGAAAGGGTCCCTCGGACACACCGAAGGAGGAGACGCATGCGGAGCATCAGCGTGGCCTGGGCGAAGGGGACATGGGAGCCAACGATGGTGGGGCGACAAGAGGGAGCCCGGTCAGCTCCCGTGGCACCCTGGGGGGCAGGGAACCTGTTGGAGCAAGGGGGGCAGGGTGACGTGGGCCTGGGACAGGGGACACTCCTGTGGTTCTGTAGGGACACGTAGCCCTGGACGGATAGCACCCCCAATCAGGCCCCAGGCCGGCTGGAGCCAGTGTGCTCTCTCAGCCCGTGAGGTGCAAAGGGCAGAAACTGAGTCACGGCAGGACGAGGAGCCAGCTGTGCCCTCCACCACAAGACCGCCACCTCGGTCACACCGCAGCAGCACACTGGCTGCAGAAAAAAACACGTTTTTAAAAATTTACCATTATAAAAATTGCCCAAATAATACTGTGTATTATTGTAAAAAACAAAACAGTCATTATAGAAATTTACAAATAAAAATAAGAAAAATTAAATTCCAATTACCTAGAATCCTATAACCAGAAACTACAGTAAATCAAATGTTTGGCTGTATATATCCCAATACTTAACATATGTAAACATCAGCCCTGGCTGATGTGGCTCAGTGGATTGAGCACCGGCCTGTGACTCAAAGGGTTTCTGGTTCAATTCCCAGTCAGGGCACATGGCTGGGTTGAGGGCCAGACCCCCAGGAGGGGGTGTGTGAGAGGCAACCACACACTGATGTTTCTCTCCCTCTCTTTCTCCTTCCCTTCCCTTCTGTCTAAAAATAAATAAATAATACCTTTTTTAAAATATGTAAACATTAAATCTAGACCTTTTCTTCTGCAAATATAAATATGTGTGCATTGTGCATGCTTTCTAAAAATGGCATTGTTCCCTATAAATTGTGCTGGAACTGGCTCCTCCCACTATTCACATGTATGTGTAGGCCTCCCAAGGTGGTTCGTTTCCAGGTCGAAGGCGTCCTGTTTAACACTGGGTGGTATTTCAGAAAGAATACTGTGTTCAACAACCCCCTGTTGGTGGGTATACACATGGCCTGTCTCCAGCCTGGGCAAAAGCCCTGAGCAGTGACCCCCTCCAGCACCCAGCTGTGGGCCCGGAGCCCCATGGGCTCTGTTACTTACAGCAAACTCCTCGGGAGTCACCTTCAAGACATCGAAGACCACGGCGTCGTAGCTCTTGCTGGCATAGTCGCAGCTCTGGCCCTCCAGAGAGTCTGAGCTGCTGCTGCCCTGGGGAGGAAGGGGGAGACGGCGCCACCTGAGCAGCCTGGTGGACGCCAGCGCCACCGCCCCCCACTCCTCAGAACTGAGGCGGCCAGGGTGACGGGCTGGGTCCTGGTGAAAGCTTCCGCTGCTCAGTGCTTCGCTCTGAGCGTGCCTGCTCCAGGCACAGTGCTAAACACTTCATACACACAATCTTACTTCATTCTCGTAACAACTCAGTATTTTCCTTCCCGTTCTGCAGCGAAGGAAGCAGGGGCAGTGCCACCTTCCCAAGGCACGTCAGCTAGGAGAGCGAGGAACGAGGGAGTGAACCTGTCCTTGTATCCGCCCAATCCCAGCACGCACACCCTGCACACTGCAGCCCACCTGCCCCCACTGGCTGTGTGGGGGTGAGGCCCAGCCCACCCCTCCTGCAGAGAGCCAGCTTCCACATCTTGGGGGCCTGGGGTCTTCTGGGGTCCCCTGTTTTGTTGCATCTTGCAACCACCACCTACTTTCACCATTTTTTTTCCTACCGAAGTCACTGCAGGGAATTGTCACACACAATGTTAAAACTGGCTCTAAAGGCTTATTTCGAGCATGGGCCACTCGGAATTCAAAGCCTGTTCACTGATGAGGTGAGAGGCAACCAACTGGCGTTGGCACCGGGCACGCAGGTTCTGTTTAGTGGACGCCTCGTCGGGGAGAACACGGCGGGCCCTGCGAGCGAGGGAAGAGTGTCCCGGAGCAGAGCACGCTGGGGCCCCCCAGCTGCGGCCGGCTGTGTGAAACCCAACCCTGCAGGGGTCCCAGAACGTCAGACGCGCCTTCTCTTCAACTGCATTTAATTTCATCGAATTCTACTTTGGGGAACCAATCACACTTACCACCCCAAAATTGTGCCCCATTCATAAATGGTTTTATTCGTCTCAGTCCATGAAGAGGGATTTTGTGGTTTCCATTAACCTCAACATCTTGGACTGGGACTCAGAGAATATGCTTTTAGTAATTCCTCTTTATTTCACTCTTTCCAAAATGCCTCTATCTGGAAAAACTTTGCAATCTTACTGGAAACTGGGGTGTTTTTCGGCCAGTGAGGGAAACCGGTAGTCAGCAACTGAAAACGTGCGGTCAGAAGGAGAAACAGAAACTCAAAGCTGTAGGTTTTCACAGGACTGTGTCATTCCAGGGTCTTACAAGCGCGTCTGCCCGACCAGAAACCCTAGACGACCCGAAGAAGCCGTGTGAGGTGGCGGCGGCGAAGGGCGCCGAGGTCAGACGGGCCAGCCCCACGCGAGCTGCTGCCTGACCTCCGGCGCGCGACTTCGTGTTCCGAGTCTCAGTCGCCGTCTGTGAAACGGCCCCACTGGAACCTGCTCCCAGGGCTGCTGTGTGGGTGGTAGGGAACGAAGCTCACAAAGCGACTGGCAGAATCCTCTGCCCTCCCCGTGGGGAGACGCTGACCCTAGGGCTCGGGGGCCTGGGTGGGCTCGGCTGTGGCTATTTTAAGAGTGGTGCGGGGAGCAAGACAGTCTCCCCTGAGGAGAGGCTGTGTCACACTTTTGAAAGGAGCACCGAGTCCTCCTGACCGCCCCTGGAACCCCTGGAACGGGCGGCCTCTCCCGCCCCGTGGTCTCAGCCACGCCCTGAGCAGACACGCACCTGCCGTCACTCCGCACGTCCGCCCCCGCCCTCCAGGGGGCAGGCCGAATCGCGGGACAGTGCAGGTTTTCTCCAGGGCGGAGCAGTGCCATCACGGTGAGGGGCACGCTGCCCACGGGCCACGGGGGCCTGGCTTTGACCGGCTACATGATGTGAGGCCAATTCACCCCGCTCTCCCTGCCTCGGTTTCCCCATCTCTAAATGGGGGCACAGCAATGGTCCGCACCTCACTGGGTCACCACGGGGACTGAGTGAGGGAGTGCCTGTGGGCCGGCAAATGACACTGCCTGGTGTGCAGTGAGCACGAACCTCGGGTGCACATGTGTGCGTGCACGTGTGTGCGCACGTGTCCTTCAGGCACCCAAGGTCACCGAGCACTTCGACTGGACACACGCTCACTCCCTCCTTCAGCAGATACTTATCAAGCACTCACCACGTCCTGGTGTATGTGTGTGCGTGCACGCACGCGTACAAACACACGCAGAGAGCAGAGAAGGAAGAATGCTCTAAATGGAGCATACATCGTAAGTAGAAACAGAAGTCTGATTCCTCCAGCCACCACGGAGTCCTCCCCTGGGATTCAGGGCTCACACCTTGCCTGCAGTGCCCATCGTGTCTGCCTCGAACCCTCGCTCACACAAGGGTCCTTGTTTAATCAAAAGCTGCCCCAAATACACTCACTGCTGGTGGGGGGCGGGGGCAGGTGGTGATGATGCCCTGACTTTATTTAAACCTATATTGGCACCATCAGGGAATTGTAAAAGGCGCCCACAGTCTGCTTTTCAGAAACACAGATCGAAATAGGGAGACTTCTGAAAGGTGCACACAAAACAAATTAGTTCCTGTGACTGTCTAGCTGATCACACAAGCTCACTTCGAAAGCCCAGCTCAACCGTGAGGCCCTTGTGAGCTCAGAGCACCGAGCGCAGCCAGCCTGTCTGTCACAGGACCGGGCGGTGCACCCTGGACGTGGTGGCACCCCGGGGCCCCAGGCGGCACCCACTGCCCCTGCATGCCTCTGTTCCACGGCTGAGTTCGGAGAGCAAGCCCCCTGAGCCCCCGGGAAAAGGCCCTCGCCCAGGCCGCTCACAGACCGCCGGCCGGTCCTGACAGCCGTTCCCCACCGCGCAAGGTAAACAGGAAGACAGGGCCAGCTGGAGTCACTTCGGTCTGACTTCATTCCGGAATGTGTGCCTTACAAGCAGCAGCGGCTTTTCTGGGGAAAGGTCTGATCTCTCCTTGCGACCCAACTGGAATGTGGCACTTGCTAGGACTGGACTGGGTATTTGTTTTTCTTTGAAGGGAACAACTTCAGAAAACACACTGATCCCCCGGACTGACTGCCTCCCAAATCTCACGCCTGGCGTGGCCAGGGGCCTGGGCGCGCTAAGAATGGTGGTATTCACAGAGCCCCCAGCCTTGCTGCCCGGGACTCCTCGGGAGCCCGGGTGGGCTGAGAAGAGCCCCGCCCCCGGCCCCGGCCCCTGCCCCTGCCCCTGCCCAGGTGTCGCAGTCTCGTACCTGCGGAGTGGCGGAGGTGACCAACACGCTAGCCATCAGACCATTCCTCTTGTACATAGTCTCCAGGCCACAGGGAGCTTCAGGGCCGCCTCTGCCGGGGACATAACCTGTCTGCAGAAGCCCTGCAAGGCAAAGGAGCTCGTGAAAACCAGCCCTGCACCGAGACCCCGCCCCCGGGGAAAAGGTGGGTGAGGCTTGAGCAGACGACCCTACGGGCGACCTTTGAAGAAAGGGGATAAGCTGGCGGCCTTCAGGCTCAATATGGCCCACAGGTGTAGCTTGTTGGGCACCTATAGGTTTGGGGATTTTTTTAATTAATCCCCAATTTTTAGAAATTAAAAGGTTTCACACAGAATTCTGGATTTCTGACTTTTGCTGAAAACAGGGACTCCCGGCAGCAGCGGGCCCGCCTCCTGCCTGGCCACCCGCAGCCAAGCCCAGCAGAGCTGTCCCGCAGGCGCCAGACGTCGCAGCCTTCGTGTGAGAAGGCAGGCAGGCCGGCGAAGGCGGCGGCCGGACGCTGCTGTTCCCCCCCCCCACCCAAACCCGTGCGCCAGCCCTGGGACAGGTCCTGCCACCACGGCCACCTCACGCGCGGGGAACCTGCGGCGCGGAGAGCGAGAGCAGCTCGCGCTTCGGTGCCTTCGCTCACGCGGTCCCACCACCCCGTGGTTGTTGGAGACCCTGCTCAAGCGCCCTTCCCCCGCTGCCGTGCCCGGCCCACCCACAGCCAGACCCGCTGCCCTCACGCCGATGTGCACACAGTGCGAGCAGAGCATTTATCACATCGCTGCGCCGCACAGAACTGCAGCCACACCAACTTGTGAGCAGCAAAGTGACGGGGCGGGGAGGGGGGATGTAGACGGGGGGGGGGGCAGGGGGAGGGAAGGAGAAGGCAGGGGTGGCCATGGGAAGCCAGCTGCAACTACCCGGGCAGCAGATGAGGGGAGGCAGGTCCCCTGAGCTAAGGTTGTAGTGGTGACGCCGGGGGGGGTGGGGGGGGCGCTGAATGACAGTAAGGACAGAGATTCACCAGAAACGGATGAGGACCCGGGGGGACGAGCTGAGGGCGAATGGTTTCTCGCTGGCGGTACCAGAAGGATGGCAAGGGACAGAGGTGCTGTGGCAGATGCGCAGGGAAAGGTGATGAATTTAATCTGGGACAGGCTGGACCTGCGCGTGGTGCCCACGAGAAAACCAATCCTGGAGAGCAGGGTAAGCCCGAAGGTCCCCGGGAAAGGCGGCCTGGAGGCAGATGGGAGAGAGGGAGGTGGCGCTGTGCTCTGGACGCTCTCTGCATGCCCACCACGCTTCCTCCGGGCAGCCGGGGCTAGCACGGCAGACAGAGGGCTCGCTTCCAACCTGAAGCCTGCCTGTCTCGCCACTGACAAAATCAGCCTAATTAATGGGCAGCAGCTCTCAGACGAGCGGTATTTCACATGCTGAGGAAACACAGAAGCAAGCAGGGTGGAAGGTCCTTTCCAGGGCCCAGAGGAACCCCGCCCACGCCCCCTCAGTCCCTGGGGCCTGGCCAAGTCCCAGCTCCTCGTCAAGAACCAGACTCCCGACCAGGAAGTCAGCCTGGCTCAGGCCCCGCTCTCAGAGCCCTTTCTCAGCCCCACAGGGGCCCCCGGGGATGGGGACCAAGCCTCCCAGGCCGGACTGATTGGACCCCAGTGGCCACCTCATTCTCCTGGGACCTCAGGACCCTGAGATGCCAACCTCTGCTGGTTAACCAAACTGAGGCGCCGTGCCCTCAGGCGCGGAGGCTGGCCAGACGCTGCTGGGCGCCAGGACAGTCGCTCAGAGGGAGCTGCTCAGAGAGAGGCCCAAGAGAGGGCCGGGTCTCGAAGACAAGGCGAGCCCTGGGCCTGGTTCCCCGTCCTCTGTATTAGAGGCCTCTTTCAGGGTCAGTCAGACTTCCAAAAGACCTTGACCAAGACTATTTCCTAAGCACCAAGTTCATTCATGCCAAGCCAGCAGAAACGTGACCCGGAAAATGCAGGGGCCCCTCTGAACGGGGATGGCGTGTGCCATCATCCATCTGCCCATCTGTCCATCCGTCCATCCATCCATCCGTCCACCCTAGGGCTCCCACGTCAGGGAGGCGCTGTCCCAGCTGGGAGTTCCGAACCGCTCTGTGCCTTGGACCCTGGGCAGCCTGATGGAGCCTCGGGGCCCTTCCTCACAGAAATGTCTTCAAATGCGTAAAATAAAGTTACGCAGGGAGCTGATTACACAGGATTACTCAGGAAACCGGCTATACTAAAGCACAGTCATTAAATTACTTTCAAAACAATGTGTAATGCAGTGATATATGTACTTCTTTGAGTAAGGGAACAGACATGTACACATTTGTTATCGCGCTAGATAACAAGACCCACCGGTCGGCCTGAGGACCACCGCGGTTTCTGAGCAGTTGTGCGCACAGGCGTTCGGAGACGCCCGTGGCTGTTACGTGACACGCAAGTATCTGTGACTTTCACTGGTGACCAAGTCCCAGATGCCATTCATATTATTGTGATTCACTGTCCGTATCAGTAACTGAGAGAAATTCTCTACCTCACTTAGAAGTCTGCGAAACTGAATGTCATGTTTTCCCCACTCAGCGGCAGAAGCGCCTGGTCAGCAGCCCCGTCCCAGGCACTGGGCAGGCGCCAGCCCCACAGCGTCCGCATTCCAGGCCGGGGGTGGGGAGCACTCGTGAGCCGAGAAGATCCTCTCGGGCAACGAGAAGTGCCTTGGAAAGTGAGAGAGAGTGGAACACAGTGTTTGCCGGGTGGTCAAGGCAGGGCTCTCTGCAGATGTGATACTGGAACTGACCCTGAGGCAGGGGTCGGCCACGAAGCAAGCGCCGTTCTCTGCAGAGACCCTGAGACTCGCACGGGCTGAGCAGCTGCGGGGAGGAGGCGGATGGTCGTGGCTGGGGCTTCCAGCGTGGGAGGCAGCGGACAGATGGGCTGGGGCCGGGGCAGGACGGGCCTTGCAGGCCTCGGTGGGCAGCCTGGGTCTTATCTGGAGCGCCCCGGAGGGCTCTGAGCAGGGGAAGACCACAGCAGCTGCTGTGCAGAGAACCGGGTTGCAGAGCGACAAAAAAAAAAAGAAGGAGCAGTGAAGCCAGGAGTGGGTAGGGGATGCTGATGACCCGCAGGGACAGGCGTGGGCTTGGGAGGGGCTGCAGATGGACGGGGGCCTGTGAGGGCGAAGGACAGGAGGGCGGCCTGAGGCTGTCGTGCCGGGGCGGACACTGACCTAACAGCCGCACTCGGATCAGCAGTTCACTCGTTCGTTCACCTCGCGCCCGGCCCCGAGACCCCCGGCAGGGCGGACCAGCTCTGGGAAGACGGCCCTGCCCTCCAGGGCCCTGCTGGGCAGAGGGGGTGGGAGGGAGTCCAGTGAGGACAGATGCCGTCACCAGTCACAGGTCCCCCTTGGCAGGGTCAGGGGAGACGGCGCTGGGAAGGGCCACGGAGCTGGGTCTTTTATAAAGGATGAGTGGGAGCGTTTCCAGGGGAGGGCAGCGAGCGCGGAGGTGTGAAAAGGCACCTGAGGGGCCGGTGGCCAGGAGAGCAAGGGAGCAGGCTGCCCCTCCCCCTTCGCCCCGCCCTGTGTCCACCTTAGACCAGCACCGGCCCTGCAGGCAGGCAGCCAAGAAGCCGGGCGCAGGGTCTGTTTAGCAGAGGGCTGCAGTCGCGGCAGCAGCATAGGCCCCTGGCCGCCCACTCGCCGGTCCACCCAGCCCGGCGGACCTTGCCCTGAGCCATGAGCTGAGCAGTGCCATCGGGCTGGGCCCGGCCTGGGGGACTTCTCATGCGGCCTGGTCAACACGGTCACCCCGACAAGTCAGTAGGCGCTTTGTTTCAGGCTCTGGCTAGGGCTTTATACACATTAATTTTTTCCTTTTAACAAATGAGGAAACTGGCGCCCAGAGGGGAGTCGCAGTGTAACTTGGGGGTGCGTTTCCACGTGCCCGCACTGACGCCAAGAGCTTCTTCAGTTCGGCCATACTGGTATGCACACACCCAAACCCTCCCTCCTCCCCACCCTGCCCCCGCCTCTCTCACCACACACACACACACACACACACACACATTCTCTCTCTCTCTCTCTCTCTCTCTCTCCCCCCCACCCCCACCCCCGCCCCCTCAGGCGGCCAGCGCCTCCTCGGAAACCACAACCCTGCTGGAGAAAGAACGGTTCTCATGACGTAACTCCGCAAGCGCGTGGCGGCAGTGGCAGGACCACAGAACGACCCGTCCCACGTCTCTGCTCCTGCACGGCAGTCTGGTCTGGTGTGTGTGGGCTCCCGAGGAGGGCGGGGCAGGAAAATCCCAGACCCAGCGCTGGTTTCCTTCCAAACTCAGGATCCCGCTCCGGTGTTCCAGGCTCAGGAAACCAAGGAAATAACACGAGGCCGTCTGGGACAGACTGCTGCGAGGAAGGCAGAATAACCACTTTTTCCTAAGCTTATGGAGGCTGTTTCAAAGCAAATACACACATCCAGGAACGTTCAGTTACAAGGGAGCGATCTCTTCCAAATGTGCAGACGAGCATGGGAACGGAGGCCAAGCCCGGTCCAGGGCCTGCTCCCTGGCCGTGGGGCAGCTGCACTCCAGACGTGGTCGGGGCTTGCTCCGCCGTCCTGTGTCGGAGACAGGAGCTGCGACAAAGACGCAGAGGAAGGACACAAACAGGGTTCTGCCCACACCCCCTCCTCCGGTTTTCGGCCCCCTTCAGGAGCGGTGAGTGTGCGTGCACGCACACACAGACACGGGACTGGGCTCTCTGTTGCCAAAAGGCTCCCCCCACAGCAGCTCTGGGGCTGGACCACCTGCCAGCAGCTCCGGAAGGCCGGCCTTGCTCAGGGTGGCACTGCTGCTCCCTCCACCTCATCCTGACCCTGCCCAAACTAGCCAAACCTCTCTTGCTGGCCAGCAGCGGCGTCTGGCGGCTTTCGAAGACAGGCCTGGCCGTGAGCAGCCAGAACTGCAACGCCATCGTTCACCGCGGTGCTCGCCCGCACCCTCCCCCACTCCTGCCACACCGTCCCGCCGGACGGACGTGCGACATCCGACAGCTCAGCTCCTCACTGAGGGAGAGGGGGTGGGGGGGCGCTGGTACG